TCGGCGCGCTTTTCGGTCGGAGTGGACGCTCGTGAATAGGTGCAATCCAGACGAACTTGCAAGCAATGACGGACGGGCAACAAAATATTGTAATCGGTTAATGAGGGATAAACAGACCTTAGGTAGGAACGAAACAGGGGGAACCGAGCAGCAAGAAAACGAAACGGTATCACAATAAACGGTGTAAGTCTTACCCTTGTTCACTGTTGATTCACTGGGGAAACCAACAGTGATCACCCCTGATTGCAATGTGTTTTCGTTACTGAACACCAAATATTTGGCTACATGTTTTCGTGTACGAAACTGAAAATTTCTTCTGCACAAAGTTTTTGAGAGGTGAAAATTTCCAGTTGCCTCCTTCGACTTTCCTGGACGTCCTTGAAATGATGAAAATTAATGAAAGGGAGTACAGAATAGTTTCATGGTTCCCGTACTGGCCCCCACTTTCAGACGGGGATACGGCTCTTTGGCACCTGAGCAGACGCTGCTTGCATGTTTAACCAGTAGCTTGCAGTTTTGCATGCCACCCTCCTTCCAAAGTTTGCATTCAAATTTTCGATTCGTCTCATTTAGGTTAGTCTCTGCGGGCGGGCCCTTCCGGGCGCTTCACGCCATTTCCAGGCCAGGTGCCGCTCAATCCTTTTGGCCCTCAGCTGTCCTGAGTTGCATAAACGTTACACTGACAGTCAGTAATTGGCCTCGTTGCAGACCGTCCAGCCTTCTGGACCTTAGTCCACTCCCTGCAGGATATTGAAAGTCTTTTAACTTGACCTTCGTGCCTGCTTGGAGCACTCGTGATTTTTGACTTTCCGTTTTCTATTTAATCATATCCTGGACGGCGGGCAAGTTTTCTTTATCTCTCTAATCCCCTCCGGATGTAGGCGTGTTGTCAGCCGCAACTGAGTTTCCGGATCAACTGGTATATGCTTATGTGGGCCGCATATCAGCATGCATGGGGACTTGCTTGCGGTTGACTAGGTCAACGCGCGATATACTGACAACATTATCAACTTGCTCATTTCCCGGTCACCACTTTGGCCATCGGTCGTTCCTTATGCGTTCAATTAGATCGCTTGTTTGCTGGTGGTCGGGTGCCGTCATTTCAAGCCCAGTACCCAAATTTTGCAGGCCATTCCTAATCTCTTCATTGTAAGAACGCGGTACCCGATTCCTTAAGGTCGCTCTTGGTACTCCGTGTGTGGTCATGATGTGATGCACGAACACCCCACTGACCTTTGCTAGCCATTTATTGGGCACGGTTGCTACCTTGACTCACCACGACATGTGGTCTGCTATCAATACATTTTGTTGATCGCCGCTAGCCGCCCCCGATAAATAAATCATTGAATGATAGGACCATAACCATCCTACTTCTGATACAAGGGTAAGTTACATGGCATCGCTTACAGGCCGCGTCCTATTACATTAACTCACCTCTCATACCTGGCTTTTAGGTTACTGCCGTGATAAGTCGTATGTTCTAATGCATACTGCGTATTCCATACTATGGCATTCGACAATCAGCTTTCGTCTCAAGAGGCGTGTTATTCTGGCATCCAATAGCACGATGAGGAGCTTAGCGCCGATCATCATTTTCGGGACTCCATCTTTAGCCACATTTTTGACACCCATTCTGGCGAGCGACTCTCCTCCCCCAACACTTGCCGGATCCTGAAATCGTGCTCGGGTTCGGTCAGGGTGCACAAAGCGCGGATCCATTGTGGTCCTGATCCACTGTAGGGTCTTTGTTTTCGATGTGAAAGCTTTTCCAACAAACACGATCTATACTTAAGCGTAGCTAAGACAGTCGCTGAACATTGTTTCTAGTGCTGAAATGCCTCTGATCAGCGTAAGTCGCGAGATGAGTGTAATTTTCCGCATTCCATTTCTTCTGTTTCATGACTACGCTGATGCTCCAGTCGTTAGTGTCCGTTGCAACGGGAAGTATTTCCCTCGCTCTAGGTGGTTTGAATGCGGGTAGCTGACCCATCATCCGCGCCCACGCACATTCTATGATCTCATCTTCTTCACCTGTCCGTTAAAGCTTTCTATTACATCCCTGCGAGTTGTACGGTTGTAAAGCAACCGCGTTGGCGAACCGGCTGTATTACAACTCCCATCCAAAAAACAGCCTCAAGGACCGCTTTGAACTGAGAAATGCAAAGTCCTGGAACTTTGGCGGCTTTCCTGGTAGTGGACTAAATTCGCCTTGACTTTTTTGCCCGAGCAGTGCCACGGAAGCAAGACCGAACTTTGTGTTGGTTTCTTTGATCCTCTGGCAAGCTTCCCGAGTACGCCGCAACACGGCTTTTATGTGAACGACAAGTTTCGTTTCAACATCGCTACACACGTCCACATCGTCCAGTTACGCGGCAATGTCACTTCATTAAACAAACCATCAGGCGCCAAATGGTTAATGGCGGCCCCGACAGGTCCCGACGAGATTCTCCTTAACTAATACTGGATGTCCCCGACCGTAAACGCCGTTTTCTCCCGGTCATTTGACTTGATAACTGGTTGCTTGTAACCAGAACGCAGGTAGATTACTTTGAAACATGGGGATGCTGGAGACAATAAAGTATCTCCGTAAATGAAGGGACATTCACGCTTATCGGTGTATCCAAAATGGAATTGAATACTCAAAACCCGCAAAATTTTCAAGGCTATCACTCTCCAGTGAGAACGTCTCTTTAATGATTTTTTAGAAAGTTTTCTTCACGGATGTCTTGTTTAAGTGATTGAATCTTCGAGGTCATCAGTCATAATATTCGATTGGGAAAACGGTCTAGTGTGATTAGAGCCAGCGGCTGGACGCGCACTGCATTTTTCTGTAAAACCCCTGCGGGCGAAATATAAACTTTAACGTCAAAATGTTGCACTTCTTTGCATATATGCGTGGACTGAAAACCACCCTCATCTGGCGTCATTTTTTGCGACTTGTTTTAATCGATCTCTTTCGAAAATTATTGGCGCACATTCGGCTTTGAATTTCGTCTGCTATGGCTTCGGAAGTGGCTTTCGTTGAGAAATTTGTGGGTGTATCGTTTTCATCCTTCACGGCATTTGAGAAGACCTTAAATCAATACATGAAGGATAACTTTGTGATATTTG